CCAATTACAATTTCAGTGATTCCAAACATTATCGAATTAAATTATTCCAAATTGTAATCAATAGATAATTAATTAATTCAAATTTTAATCAATAAAAAACACTTAAGATTTTAATTAATGAAAAATTCAATTATTTCAAAATTTATTGAATTAAAAATTCAACCGTCCCAAACTTTAACAAACAAAAAATTCAATTACTCCAAGTTTCCTTCAATTTAATTTGAATAAATGGTTTTCAGCTTATTATAGGTTAGGGAAAAGTCAGTTAAAAGTCGGGGGATTTTTTTCCTTAGATTTGTTTGACACCCTATTATGAAATTTCTTTATCTTGAAAACAGCTCATAACTATCTTAAAATTCATTTCTGCTTTGTCTACATATTAAAACCAATGTATTTATTATTGTTTAGTGTCACCAAAAGATATTTGTCTGTTCAAAAAAATCAACACCTTGGGTGTAATATGTGAATATGTCGCGTCACGAGTAGGCACAGCATCTCAACAAGAAATTACTTATTTAAATGAAGACGTGGGTTTATCAGACTTTCCGATAAAAACAAAAGAACATTATGATGAGATAATAGAAAAATTGATGGATACAGAATACTATACGAAAGTAGTAAGTAGTTTTGATCAATTGTCCAGATGTATGTGTGTGTATGTATGTATGTGTGCACCCCTTTTTTATGAAAACAATATCTTTAACTCGTTATAAAATTTTGTGTATTTTTAAATTCAAATGTATACATAAAAAATTTTTATTCCTTGCATTAAATCGAATCGATTGGTACATGTAAATTATACATTTCATTTAAAATTATAGAATTAATGAAAGTTAAAAAATTCATATTTTAGCTAAAAAAATTTTATATTCTGAAATGTTTATATTATTATATTATTTATGTATGTTTGTTTATTTCAATGTTAATGCTGTCTCCACGAGGAAGCAAATTTTTTTGCTGATCGTAAAAAGGAAGCAAAATGTTCAAGTAATGCACATCTGAATTTACAACTTGTTTTACTAAACAATGACTTTTTAAATAAAAATTAAATAATAAATTAAATTGTATAATAAAATATATTGTTTTTAGGTTAAATCAATTATAGATTTAGGAAAATTGAGAACCCTGTCTATGACAGTAAAATCTGCAATGAAGGAACTTTTGACCCTGGAAGCGGGAAAATTATTTACTTTTCAGGGAAGAGGGGGCAAAAAACTTCGCTTTTGTGGTTCACTTTTGCACCGTGTAGTAGTACGTAAGTAATGCATCCTCAATTTCATTTCAGCGCTCTTTCCTTGAATGATGTTTTTTGAAAATCAAGTTAAATATAATTTTTATTACTCATTTTCAGAATCATCAAGACACCTACATCAAAATGAAGCACAAAGCAGCGTTAACTACTGGATTGAAGACTGGCTGGTTCAGTGTTCCAATTCAATTAAACGAGACAAGTATGTATGTTTATTCTTAGGTATCTTACAGAATCATTTCTGAAAGTATCAATTTCTTATAAAAGTAAGCGACAAAGACTTTATTCAAAATATTATGGTGTGATTTTAATATTTTTTCTGCACGCAGAAAGAAAGAGGAAAAAAGGCAAGAAAAAGAGGCGGAACAAAATTTCAATTTTCCTGAATTTGAAGACGAAAACTCTGAATAATGGTTTTGGAATTCAATTTAAATTGAATCGATTCGAACTGTAATTGCTGCTTAAGGGCGACTAAGGAAAATATATTTATTATGCAGAACGTGTTGATATCTATAATGGTATATAAAATGAGAATATTTCATAATACTTTTTCGTAAGTCGATAAAAACTTATTAAAAACCATGTATTGTGTTTAAGGCTCTGAGAATATTATTATGTTAATTCTCAAAAAAAATATTGAAAGGAATCTTAAAGAGAGCTTACAATATATCAACACCGAATTAAGAAAAGGTAAAACTATTTATTTTTCCACATTGAAGACAATTATGTTTTGACTCAAAAAATACAATTTTGATGATTTGAACTAAAAGTTATTGTCTAAAATGAATAAAAATAATCTCCAAATTAAATCAGTATTAACAAATTTTTAAAAGTAGAGAAAACGTAATTTCATAGAAGAATGTTTCTCTTAGTGTAATGCTAAAATAGTGATTGACGTCAATAATTGAATATAAATTAATTTCATTTAAATTTAAATTGAAAAAATTTTCAGCTTTTAAATTTAGTCATACATATTTTTAACTAAATTATACGTTTCTTTCTCTTAAAAATTTGTGGAGCCTGATTTCTGGAAATTAGTTTTTTATTCAGTTTTTCGACAAATAATAATAATAGAATAAGAAAAAAATAATAGAATTTGTTTTTCAATGTATTGTCGAGTGACGAGAAACTGATAAAGGAGGGATGAAAAAAGTATTTAAAAAATTAATTTATTAATCTTTTAAAAAAGATGGAAAAATTTTAAGATTAAAAAAAATTTTTTAAAATTCAGAATTTTTTCAGGACGCTTAATTAATGTCGGTTTTCTATTTTTTCAGTTTTCAAGGTTTGGTAGCCATTCCGAATTGTATTCCAAAGGTAATTTTGATGACTGGTTTCTAAGAATTCATCTGCTCATCTTTTGCGACCGTCGACTCCACCCTGATTATAAACGAGGAATACTGGCTTTCTTTTTCATGAATTCTAGGAGAATAAAGTCAGTGTTACAATTTAATAAAAACATTTTTTGAAAAGTGTATTATTTAAAATTTAAGGTATTTTTAATAATGAAATTTAGTCATTATTTTACGGATATTTTTAGATGAAAGTTTTATACAAATTTTATAAAACGGAATTGTTATGTAACAAATTTTTGTAGAAATTCTGGTAGATCTTTTTAACAATAATTTTATTAACCTAAAATTCCATTTAAGGTAATTTATTTCAAATAAATCTTCAGATTGTTACAGTTTTCGTTTCACCGAACATTATAGACAAAATTTATGTTAATTAAAATATTTATTTAACAGAATTATTATTTATTATATACTCAGGATAATAAAAATAGTTACTAAAAAGAATTTTAAATTCTGTAATTTATAAATTAATTTATGTAATAATTCCACATGAATAATAAATAACAAGTAAATATACATAAAACTACAAACGCTTAGAAATATCTATTTTTACGCCTTCCTGTATTTGATTATGTGTAATTTTAAGTAATTTTTGTAATTTATATTTTTTCATTTTAATTTTCCGCATTTATGCTTTCTTTAAGTTTCCAAAATATTTAATGATAATATTTAACAAATTTTGCTTTTTCAATTTTCTCAAACATTTCTGCACAATATGGTAAAAATCTTTAGGTCCATTATTTCATGAAACTTGCAATGCAATATTCAATCAAGTTTTGCGCCAAACCCTGTTTATGTGCGGACATTTAAACATCGACACAAACTTGTATGGGCTTTGCCACTCAAGTTTCCGAATCTCGCCGTGCGAGGCGCTGTCAACTTTAAGGAAAGTTTCGGTGCTGTGTGGGTACCCTTTTGTGCAATAAAAGTTGATTTTGCAAGTCTGAACTTGAAATCCCCCCCCTTCCTTCTTTTCGCGAAGTGAAGTGATAGTGTCGTTAAAGAACAAAAAGTTTTATTCTAAAAAAAATGTTACGCTTTTTGGTGCAACTGTTGATAGGGGGGGGGTCAGTTACCTGTAGATAAAAAATAGCGCCAAAGTATGCAATATTGTGGTTGGAGGGGGGTTGAAAAAGGGGTTACATTAGTGCAACTTGTGGCCGTTGCATGGCGCTAAAGTGTATAGGCCTAGTGTATATGCAACATTGTCGTTGAAGAAGTTGAAAAAGGGGTTTAATTAAGTAGTGCAACTTGGGACTGTTTTCTATGAGTGTAAATATTATCAAGTGCCGAAAATTTTATTCGTGTTCTAAATAAATTCGCCCCACGGTTAATTGTTTGTGTGAACCTCGGTTTTATTTTAGATTAAAAAGTGATTTTTTCTTCAAAAAAAAATATCGCGTTTCAGGAAGTGCGCGAAGTGAGTGTTTTCTTTGGAGATAAAGTCTTTTCAAAGATTAAAAAGTGATTTTTTCCTTAAAAAAAAAAAAAAAAAAAAGTAGTTGCATCTTTAGGAAGTGCGCGAAGTGTGTGAGTGCGTTTCTTGGAGATATGGGAGTAAGTTGCAGAGCAGCTCCTGGAGGAGATCTTGTACTGGCGGACGCAGTTCATTGTGTGTTTCCAGTTTTATCAACGTGGGAATCCGCGATCGGTGAGTCGAATTTTATTTTAACAACAATAGTGACACCATTGGCAAAATTTAATATTTCGTGTTATTTTTAATATTTTTAAAAATATTTTTATTATTAATACAGAAATAAATAATTTTGTCAATGTATATTTATATTGTGTGAGTTTTTCCAAGTTGCTATTATTGCAAATATCTTTGAGAGAAGATCGTGGAATGAGTATATGCGATTTAAATTAAGGGTTTTTTTTTAAATATAGCGTTAGGTAGGCAATTTTTTTTTTTTTTTTGGTATGAATGAAAATAAATTAGAATATTTTTCCAAAATAGGCAGGAAAATAGGGCGAATTGTGTATGTGAATTATTTTTACGTCACTATGTTGTTTCACATTATTTTTGGCTGATTTTCAAAAAATTTGGAATTTTGTATTATTTTTCAGAAGATTCATCGTGGTGAGATAAATTGTTTTTATAAATTATTATTAATCTTATTTTTTCAGGAAAAAATTAATTATAGATTTCTATAATTAAAAAAAAAATTTCTCTAATTTAAAAAAATATTGATTAAATTAAAATATTTATATTTATTATATAATTGGTGACATTTGACGGATATATTTTGTTTTTTTTTTTTTATTTATTTAATAAATTTTCGCGCACAATTTTGAATTTTCGTTCCTGATAAGGGAAATTTCCTTGTTATCAACATTAATAGTACATGTGTGAAACTGAAGAGGCATTCGTATCGTTTCGATTTTTATATAGAAATGATATTTTTTTTTTCTAATCAAAGAATGTCGTACTCGTGAACCACAGACCGAAGTTTTCTGATAAATCCGACATTTTCACGCCCTTGGTTTTTTTTTCGTATGTGAATTATAGTAAATATCGTGAATTCAAGGAAATTGTGTTTAAGAAATAACGAATAAAGACAAAAAAAAAAGATAAAATGGCTAGTAACGGAAAAACGAACGACTGTTCAATTCTATCTAAACTCGGTCTCAAACCTCTTACAAAATGTAACCTCGTGAAATTTTATGTTCCAATGGCTGGTGCCGCTTCACATGCCGCAATGTCTGTTAGTGTTATGAATCCAAGTTTAGCTGCCAGGTAAGTTTAATTTATTTTCTTTGGAAAAAATTATCTGATGCAATGATAATCTTCCATTACTTTTTGTGATTTTTTTTTTTCTCCAAGTTTTGCGTTATTACGTAATTCTATGAATGTATCACACTTACCCGCTAAAAAATTTACAATAATTAATGTTGATTTCAACAAGTATTGTAAAAAATTATTTGTATAATATATTTTATTTTAAGAGGTAAAAAAAATATTTTTCATTTTATTTGTATAGATTTTTTTTTTATTAAAAAGCGAAATTTTGTTTTTGTTGCAATATTAGAATGAATAAAAGATTTTTAAAGTGAAATGTATAATTATGTTGAATCAATAAGTTAATTTTACGTCATTTTTCTTGAAATGTTATTTATCAGGATATTTATGAGAGTTGTCTAAATAGAAAAAATATTGCATTAAATTTTATTTCCAATGTTTTTTTTTTCATGAGATAAAAATAAAATGTATTTTTTATTCGCGATTTTATTTTTATATGAAAAGTATTAAAGAAATATTTATAAATATTTATGGATTAAATTGAGTAATTGTTTTTTTTTTCTTGTAGAATATCACCAAAGTGGGATGTGACAAATGCTGTACTTGTTGCCACTCTTGTTGGGACAGGTACTTACATTTATACAAGAAAGCATATGCAAAATGCGCCAACTTGTTCAAGAATTTGTTACAGGTATTAAAAAGAAAATTATATTTAAATATTAATTGAAAATTAATTAATTTAATATTAATTGAAAGAATTTGTTACAGGTATTAAAAAGAAAATTATATTTAAATATTAATTGAATATTAATTAATTTAATATTAATTGAAAATTAATTAATTTAATATTAATTTATTTAATTTTAATTGAAAATTAATTAATTCAATATTAATTTATTTAATTTTAATTGAAAATTAATTAATTTAATATTAATTTATTTAATTTTAATTGAAAATTAATTTATTTAATTTTAATTGAAAATTAATTAATTCAATATTAATTTATTTAATTTTAATTGAAAATTAATTAATTTAATATTAATTTATTTAATTTTAATTGAAAATTAATTAATTAGAATTTGAGTAAGAAAAATTTTACTCATTTTTTTGTTTTAAATTAATATTTAGTTGAAATGATTTTTTGTTAATTATTTGTTAATTATTAATTTTAAAATATTTTTTTAGCGCAACAGGAGCCGCTCTATTAAGCTTTGGATCCGTGTTAGCATGTGCGATATTGCGTTCAATTACACCTCAAAATCCCACGACGTGCACAATTGTGGGACTTGGCACTTCGATTCTTTTGATTAAAATTGGCTCAAACTATCTTCAACATGTAGATGAGAATGTAAAATAAAAATAGAGATCATCGAAGTTATGATTCATTTTTTTTTTTTTTAATTTTTGTTAATGTCATACCAAAAACGAGTCACAAAAAAAAGAAAAAAAGAGAAAGAATTGGTTTTTTTTCTTTCTTTCTTTTTTCTTTTCTTTTTTTATCGTCAGCTGGTACACAACGTTCTTATAAGTCTCACAAATTACGTAAATGAAATTTGTTTTTTTTTCAGTTAGTGCTTTACTAATGAATTAGTATATATAGAAAAATGTTGATGGATAATCAAAGTAGAATTATTTCAGATATATATAGATATATATCAATGAGAAATATATAGAATATTGTGAAAAAGCTCGCGATTGGCATCTTTAATTATTATAATCACATATATATAAATATATGTGATGCTATGTCGTTGGCGCAACACTAAAATTACATTCGAATCACGTGATAATATACGTCATATTTTATATTATATTTTGAGAAAAGTTATTTTGTCCTTTTCTCATTATAACACCTTCTTCGAAATAAAATAACACTGAATTATTGTTCGAAAAAAATTTTTTTTTTTATATTCCTAAATCCTTTTGCATTTTTTTTTTTTTAAATTAAATTTGAATTGATAGAAAAATAGAAACAAATTAAAATTGGGAAAATTTCGATATTTTTGCGAAAGAAAAAAAAGAAAACCTCGAAAATATGAGAATGTTTAAAATTTGCGCATTTATTGCTTATTTTTGTTTTTTGTAAATAAAATACAGAAATTTTTCGAAAATATTTGTGCATTCGTAGAATAATTGAAATTTAAATACTCTTCACATGACATTCGCATATATATATATATATTTATCAATCGCTCTGGCAAATATTGCCTCGTTGAATAATACATGATAATAAATATATAATATAGAAAAACAAAAATAACACACAGGGGAGGGGGGGAAAACTTCAACATCGAAAGATTTAATTGAAACTTTTGAGTAAAAAAAATCTTTCGATGTTTCAAGTTAATTTTTTTTCGATTAATAATATAAGATTCCTATATAATGTAGATCAGTAAAATGAAATTACATGTCGCGATAAATTATTGCCACTCATGTTATTTAAAAATCGGTATACTATTTTCGAGTAAAAAGTTTCTTTTTTTTTTTTTTGTATTAAAAACAATATCTCTTAAAATATATACTATATTAATATCTTATTATAATCTAAAACTCCTCCAAATATCATTATAATTTAAAGAAAAAAAATGTATAAGCAGTTTACAAATATTGTCGACAATTAAAATTTATGAATTAAATATCTTTTTTTCGAAAAGTATTTTCTTTTTTTAAAAAAGAAAGTCTCCATATTTGTGTTGACAATATTTAAACTATTTTTTTCTTTTCATTTAAAAACTTTACAAATTATTTATAAAAATAGCTCATCTCATTTTTTTTTCTGGAGATCCATTTGGTTTTGATGATGAGTGACAAAAGTGTCATATCTTTCTCTGTTGCTAAAAATTCTTATGAATTATGTACAAAAGGCGCTTGTGCGTTTTTTTTTTATAACAATCACTTGTTTAAAAAACTGAACAGTTAATATTTAAAAAAAAAAAATATTGTTATAGAAAAAAAATTTTTTGATTCAAATATACTGTTACTTGACTGTCAAATAAATATTTACTTGAACTAAATAATTTTTGAAAACCAAATAATTGAATTATAAAATGTATTTGAATCAATATTTTTTGTATTTTAAACAAATTGATTCAATAATTATTTGATACAAATAAATATATATCTGATACAAATAAATTTGATAATAGTCAAGTAACTAATTATTTTAATCAAATATTGTTTTTTTTCAGTATATTGACGTTAAAGAACATGGATATCTTGAGTATTCTTTCGCAAATGAAAAACAAAAAAATAAAATAAAATAACTTTCAGTTTTTTTCTATTGTAAGAAAACTTATTTTCTCTAAATTCCCAGCTGTAATTTCTTGTATATATATATGGTGATTTTCACTATCATCACTGTATATATATATATATATTTATATTAGAGTCTCAAAAATCACAGCTTTAGAATAATTCTCATTTCTGTTTCGGTTTGAGAGTGATTTTGAAGGAGATTAATTAAGTCTTTGAAAAATTTCACTTTGGTGATGTTTGTGCATTTCTACATGACGATGGGAATTGATTTTGTGGTTATTTCCAAAATTTTATTTTTTTTTTTTTGTTGGAGTTCATAAAGCTTTTGACACAGCGTTTACTATTGAATCCGTTACCCTTTCAATGGCAGGTGCTGTAAATGAAAAAAAGAAAAAATATTTTTATTAATTTTCTTTAGTGTCGCGATTATAAAATATATTAATTTATTCAAAAATTTATTTGATTCAAATAATCGTATAGTTGTTTGTTATCAAATAAATTTATATTTAATATTTATATTTATTAAATAAATTATTATATTCTAAGAAATGAATTATATTTATCTAATGAATTATTATATATTTATCAAATAAATTATTATTTGAGTGAATTAAATTTTATTTGTTTCAAATAGATAAACTATTAGTACAAATTATAATTTTTTTTTTATTTTGCAAAAATATCAAGGTTTTAAATAAATGAATTCAAATAAAAATTATTTAATACAAGTGAATATTTCTTTGATACAAGTAAATATTTATTTAATGCAAATAAATGTTTATTTGATAATAGTAAATTAGTAACCGATTATTTCAATCAAATAAATTTTTTTTTTCAATGTATATATATATATAAATAGTAAAAAAATCAGTCTTGGCTGGAATTTTTTTTTTTTTATTAATTCAGATTTGAAGATTTATATAATTATAATACTGAAAGCAATAATTTAAGAATCAATTTAAGATCTTTGAAATGTAGAATTACCTTTGCCCTCATCATGCTCTTCGTGATGTTCCTCGCCGTGCGAGTGACCGTGTGAATGCGAATGAGCCACTGTAAATTAAAAATTAATTAAAAATTAATTAGAAATTAAATTAGAATTAAATTTAAAAAGAACAGTTTAATTGCATTTAAATAATCAGTTTCTTATTATCAAATAAATATTTGTACCAAATAATTTTTATTTTTATTAAATAAATTGTATTTGTATACCAATAATTTTTGTATTTGAAAGAAATACCATTTAATTGACCATATAATTATTTAATACAAATAAATATTTACTTGATAATAATAAAGTAACCGATTATTTGAAACAAAATAATATTATAAATAAAGAAAACAAATTTTTAATTAGAAAAATAATTATTAAAGTTTAATAAAAATTTTTTTGAAATAAATGAAAAATATTGTTCTCCTAGAATTGAATCCATTGTTAATGCTGTTTCACTTATTTCATAAATATAGACGTTAATTATGTGCACCTATAAGTGACATAACACACGTCAATATGTAAACATTATCAATGGAAAGCGAATGTCCTTAAGAATTGTACATAAAGTGTACAATTTCATCAATTATATAAATATATGTATTTATATTGTTATACAAAGTTTTCCGCGTTAGTTTTATTATTTTTGAAGAAAAATTTTATTCTAAAATTTAAAAAGGGGAAAAAAACTGATTCAAGCACGTGTTATTGAAAAGTGAATTCTTTTTTTTTTATGAGCGCGGTGAGAGTCGTGAATAATGTACCTATATATATGACTTTAAACAGTTGATAATATTCTTGATATGCTTCGTTAATTCTTTAGGCATAGATTAAAGAAATTGGAACGTAATAGTCGAAAGATGTTGAGAAAGCCGTCGAAAGTCGGTCGTTTGGTCCATCGACCCTAAACCCGGGTCATCGTCACGAGAGAGAAGAAAGCTTTACATATATATATATAGATATAACTAGATCTTTTCAATCATTACTTCTATTCTATACGTTATTCATCATATAGCTTCAGCAACATCATTCGATTACAGAATGTTAAGCAAAAACCATTTCTTTTCACTCTTGTCATCGGTATTGACTTTATACTATATATATATATACTTGTATACTTTCTGCATCCATTCGATTTCAACCTATATATAATCAAAAACGAAATTATTTTTTGAAAATTAAATTTTTTTTCTATGCTTCTCTATTGAATTAGTGAAAAGTTTAACTAATTTAAATTAGTGACCATTTTTTGAGTTAAATTTTACTAATTCAATAGTGAAAATAAATGTTAACTACACGGAGAAAAATGGAAAAACGAATAAAGTAACTTTTACTATATTTTAAAAGTAAAATCTAAACTGTCCGCAGTTTCTGCGAATTTCTGTCAATTTTTACTCCAGAAATAGTAAAATTTATCTCTGAAATAGTAAAAATTATTTCGGATATAGTAAATTTTACTATATTACTGTATAGTAAAAATTGCTAGAAATTCGTATAGAAACTGCGGACAGTTAAGGTTTTACTTTTAAAGTATAGTAAAAGTTAGTTTATTCGTTTATCCATTTTTTCCGTATAGTATGAATTGTAATTGTAATTATTGAATTAGTAAAATTTAACTTAAAAAATGGTCACTAATTTAAATTATAGTTAAACTTTTTACTAATTCTTTAAAGAGCGAATTTGTGAAAACAAATTTTTTTTCTTGTAAAAAGATTTTAAGTAATAATTTAAATGTAAATTTCTCACGTGAGCATTTAAGTTGAAATCGAATGTTTGTTTTGTTTTGTTTTTTTTTTTGTCTTACGTAACTGTTATAACGTTCAGTGTCGTTCAACTTCAATGCCTTCATTAATTTTTGCGCAAATAGTATATTTTAAACGCACGTTTAAAATAATAATATTACACACTTTTTTTTTTAAATGGTATAAATATCAAAACTTTTTTTTTATGGGTTCAAGGACAAATTTTTGCTTTATGAATCACAATCAAATATACATATATAGAAAAAAGAGAAAATTTTTCGAGCTGACAAGAGAACATTATGTTTCATATATGTTACAAAATGTTAAGTATACAAAATTTTTTGTTGCATCAACAAAATTTTGGATAAATATTTAAATCAGACTTTGGTTAACAAAATCAAATATACACTGAAAAAAAATTCTAGTTAGAATAACCAGAATTCTGGTTAGGGTATATTTAACATTTTGATTCTGGTTAGGTTAACCAGAATTCTGGTTATTTTAACGAGAATTCTAGTTAATTCAACTAGAATTCTGGAAAGTAATGTTAAATATAGCCTAACCAGAATTTTTTTTTCAATGTAAGAAAAACTATTTTATTTTTCTTATATTTGATTGTAAAATCTGCTTTAGATATTTATCAAAAAAAAAATTTGTTGATGCAAGAAAAAATTGTTTATAAGTATGTATATATATATATATATTAACATTTTGTAACGTATATTAAACAAAATGTTTTGTTGTCAACTAAAACCTTTTATTTTTTTTGTCAATAAAGTCAGGGAAAAATCAATTAATGCTATATAAATTTAAATAATCGGATATTTGCTAAACACAAAAGAAAAACAATCACGCGATTAGTATATATAATTTGGGGATTTTGATATTTTAAGGGAGAATATTTCTCCCACTGACCTTGGCATTGAAAGTATATGTATACGTTTGGGCATTTGGGTCAAATCGATCTTCCAAACTCCGGAACACACGATGAGTGGGTGGAAAGCGGAAAAAGATTTTACAAGGACGTACCGAATTGAGGAAGAGGGTGAGGGTTAGACTTGTACCGATAGGGGTAGATGAGAAAATAAAGATAAAAAGGTTTAATTTTTAGTTTATACCAAAAGAATTTTGTTAATTTTTGAAAACATATTTTATTACTATATGAAAAATATATTTTGAAAAATTTCCAAAATTGTCAATTCTCTTTGGAAAATTAACGAAATTCTGATTAGTTCTAATTCTGATATTAGAAACTCAGGTAATTAAAATTCGAGAAAAATTAATACATTTTAGTTCTGGTTTTGCTTTGACTGATTATTGAACTAATCGTAATTTTAATGAATCTCAATTTCTTATATAAACACAGAAAATTAAAAGGCATTAAAATAAGCTGCTATTATTTTAATCCAATTTTGCTTATTTTAATCCATTTTGGTATTAAAATAAGCAAAATTGGATTAAAATAATAGCAGCTTATTTTAATGCCTTTTAATTTTCTGTGAAATTAGTGTATATGTTTTAATAAAAGTATATTTAATTTATTGACGATTTAATGGAGAATTAATTTTTCATCATCAGAATTGATGTATAAAATTTGTTTCTTGGTAAACTGCGCAATTCATATCGGGATCAATTATAAAACAATGACTCTTCGTTTCCGGTATTTTAGCAGAGATCTTATCAAGTCTCACTAAATCGTGTGTCAGATGAAAAGCATATCTTGAGCTTATATATGCCTTTCTTCCTCTGTTCTGACTGATTATTCCAGCTCACTAGGAATTATTCAATTATTCAATCAGATTCTTACACCAGTAACCCACTGACAGATTCTAGGTGGTTTCTTCTATATATAATAAAATTTATGTTAAAATTTCCGTGTCATCGTTAATATTTCCATACTCACATTTATCAAGATTATATCATTTTATTCTACTTATCAATAAGTATAAAAAAAAATTGAAAATAGATTATAAAATAATATTTTCATATTGTTTTTGCAAAAAAATTTCCGGTACCGGGAATCGAACCCGAGCCTCCTGGGTGAAAGCCAGGTATCCTAGCCACTAGACCATACCGGACCATGGGAAAAAATTAGAACGAGGTTTAGCTGCTTTATACGCTTCAGTGAAGTAGCTTGACACATTGGTGCCCTGTGCTGTTCAAAAATTTACAATATTTGAATTTAGGACAAATTTTTATTAATACAAATTATTTTTTAGACGAATTTTTACTTTTCGAATTAGCATTTGGGAGAATTTCTTCTGTAACCGAATTTTTATTCGGCAAAATTCTTAAAATATCGAATTTTTTATTTATCCGAAATTGCAAATGGTCGTAAACAATCAATTTCGGCGCGAATTTTCTGTTAATTGTTTGTTTCGGCCACGTGCAATTTTGGATAAATAAAAATTCGGTTTAAACAGAAATTCTTCCAAATGCTAATTCGGTAACTAAAAAATAATTATATTAATAAAATTGTTTCAAATGAAGATTCTAAGTAATTATTTTTAATCATTCGCCCCAATTATAGTACTTAATTAAGTATTGGAAGAAGATACATGGAGAAAAAAGGAAAAGAAAAATCAAGTAACTTTTACTATTTCCGTAGTAAATCCTATAGGCTTTCAGGAATTTCTGTCAATTTTTGCTTAGTTAATAGTAAAAACTATTACATTCAGTAGTAATTTTTTCAATTTCTGAGAGAAAAAGTTACCGCAAAAATTCCGGACAGATTATTTAAATATATATATAGAGACTCACTGGCGAGTTGAAGTCCAAGCATCAGCATAAATCCAACAAGTATTGCGGCTAATTGAAGAAGACCACTTTTTTCATTTGCTCTTTCTCTGGCAAGAACTTCAAAGAACACAACATAAAGTAGGGTGCCTGCTGCCATGCCCTGAAGGATAGTTGGGACCGGTCCCAAGTTTTCGCTGTCATTTTTGAAATGTCCCAAGGCCATACCAGCGACAATTCCAAATGGCGTGACCATTGAAAAAACAGAAAGATAACCAAGAATTGTTTTAGTCGATGTCCTCGCAACATAAAGTTCCATGCCTACGCAAAAGGCAATCACAAGTTTATGAGTGGCAATGGCAGCTGCCAGGTATACGACCGAATTCAAGGACGGTTCCAAGCCAACGGCAAGGCCCTCAAAAATTGCATGAAACGATAATGCAAGTACTGTTAATAATCCTCGAATTGAATTATCAGTTCTATTTTCACTTTTTTTTAATGATTCAAGATCGTATTTGATATTATCGTGATGTGATGTTTCTGATGATGATGAAAGAACATAAATTGGAGGTAGAATTTTTTGTTGTCTTTCTTTGTTGTGATTTTTATTTTCGTTACAATCAGTTCGTTTCCATGATCTTGTGGCTGTTGGTGTTGTTGTTGATGTTCCACTTTGATTATTGTTGTTGTTATTATTATTGTTGTTACATCGTCGAACTGATACTGTACGATAGAGTAAAGTTTCGGATGATTCGGGTTTGTTTGTGAGGGCTGCGTGTACAGTTTCTTCCACAAGATAGACGAAAAAGAAACCTCCACAAAATAAAAGTTCCGCCAAACTCAATGAGCCTAGAGTTGCTAATTGACCATTAGCCTGATGTCTTTCGACGCTTTGTCGCACCTCGGGTGCAAGATGAAGGAATGTCGTGAAAAGAAGAACACCACCTCCAAAGCACAGGAGTAAAGATGTCAAGAGACCCTAAATTTATTAAGAGTTTAGAGATAAAATTGAAAAAAAAAAAATCATTTAGAACCTCCTTTTGTGAGATTTGATTTTGGAATTTTATAACAAATCTTAATTGTATTTTAAATGTTACTATTAAATTTTGAACAATTTTTGAAGATAAGATAATACTTTTGATAAGTTTTTTTTTTCTTTAAATTAAATTGATAAACAAAAGGAAGTTCAGTAAATGGTTTTTGAAAAGAAATAATTTTATTACTTGCGGCGAGTGGGAATGTATGTGAACAGTTGACGAGGATGCATTCGTTGAAGTACTTGAATCACTTGTTATCCCACGACGTCCGTCTTGTTTCCTCATTCTATAACGAGCGACAATTAATGGTAACATACCCGAAATTAATGAACCAAGTCCCAAAAGAAACATGGCACCAATTTTCGATAATAAAAGAATAAGAGAAGTGTGTCCCGTTATTGGCAACGGATTTTCTGTTGTCGTTTCTTCCATATTTAAATAAAATCAGTTCGTTTAAATTAAATTTCTTTAATGAATTTTCACTTTGGTTGCTGCTTCTGCATATCACACACCCTTACACTTAGTACTTCTTTCTTAGTCTAAGACACTTTAACATCTACTTGATGTTTTCCTTTTTTTTATCACTTCTTTTATTCTTCCTCTTGTGTTATTTTTATCTGTTTGGTTATCTGATACTCCCTTCTTAAAAATTTATCTTCATGGTTTTGAAGATATTATGCGTTTTGTTTGCCTAAATCTTGTTCGTCATTTTATCGTCAAAATGCATCACTTTTTTCACAATTTCACAAATTTTTGTTAATTCCATTCACAATCATATTTAATTATTATAATCACACTGGATACTCACTGTAATGAGAATTTTCTTTTAATTTCTTTTGACAAATTCTTTTATAGAGCAATCGATATAATTTGTTGACAATATTTATATTATAAATGGAAATTGAAATTTTTTTTTTGTTTATGGAACTAAACTATTGTTTCAGTTATCCGAGACATTATAACGGAAATTATTTTTAGTAGCAGTAAAATCACTTTCTTTCAACTTATCTATAATAAACAATGTACTGTCAAAATTGAGTGACTAATATGGATCTTATAACTTTACTATCTCGTTTGATATTCATCCTCTTGTGTTATAGGTACAGGGTGAATGATTCCCCTTTGAACTTTGCACTCCTCTTGACAATTTTATCATAAGTGTATATATATAACTATTGAATTCTCCTTCTGTCGAACTATTGTTTAAATTATTATGATTTTGTTCCTCAACTATGTGTGTATATATATATATATATATATATATATATATATATATGTGTATGCTTTATTTACCCATACAATCAAATTATTGAAGTTTACTAACTTTATGCTCTCTCATGTGAGATAGATATTGTTTTGACATGCTCTCAACGTAACTTTATACAGAACATGAAACTGGGTTTCTATCGGGATATATAACAATGAACTTCAGGTGAAGGGCTCAAAGAATTCGAAACTCAATTTTATGACCTTATTTACAATTTTTTGTCGGGATTTTTTTGTTTTTTTGTTTGTAAAATACTTTTTAATTGGTAATTTTTTTCTTTCAAATGCGTTCTACTTTTTTTTTTTTTATTGAGAATTAATTTAATATTTAAGTAAAATTTTTAATTACAAATTAATTAATTAAAATTAAAAATTTAAACAAAAATTTAAAGATAGAAATAATTTATAGAAATAGAATATATAATGAAATAATAAAAGTAGAATAAAATTCAAGGAGAAAAAAATTATATTTTTGTTAAAAAAATTTTTGAAAAAAAATAAAATTATTTTTGAAACATTTAAACATTTAAACAATATTATAAAATTCAAATTACATGTGATGCATAAAGTAAGAATTTTGGAATTTTAATTTTTATCATTTGAGATAAAATTTTCGTTGATATGGAGTCTGGGGTATCATTCATTGAACTATAATATAAGAAGTTATACCTATATATATATATTTTTTTTTTAAAGATATATTTAATTTTTGAGTCATGTGTATATATTTTTAAAAAATTGTTTCGAATTATATAATATAAAACTATATTTCAAATAATTGTGAAAAATTCGAATAATTATTAATTTCACCTTTTGAAAAAATAATTTTCTTTTTTGGGGGAAAAAAAATGTAATTTAAATATAAAAATATTTTTGTTTTTCTCTGTATATATGTTTTACAGAGATGAACAAAATTAGAATGAACCGAGGAGTCGATCTGTATCCCTGAGTAACCTCGATTTGGATTGGATCTATGCAAGATTCAATTATTTGATTACTGCAAATAGAGATACTACACTTCACCTTTAGCTTATATATATATACGTACAATTGGGTTAAGACATAATGATTTTTTAGTGGAAATAAAATTTGATATAAAAATTGTTTATTATAAGTTGCATCAAAAAAAAACTAATTTTTTTATTTAATGTTAGAAAGTCAGGAATTTTATTTTTTTAAAAATTTATAACAAATTTAAAAAATAATAGAAAAAAAAATTAATTTTATTTATTAAATTTAATTACAAATTTTCATTCTTATTTTTGTAATTAATTTTATTATTATTTCTTTATTTATTTTTTTATAATTTTTGTTGTAATTAATTTTTTATTAATTTTTTTTTCACAGTTATATTGGTTATTATTATTTTTTTTTTAATTATTTTTTTTATTTAAATTATATTGAAAATTGTTATGTTTCCTTAAGATAAATTTCGTGTTTTTTTTTCACTTTTGAATAACAATTTAAAGGGACACGTTGAATAGTAGTTATACACGTGGGACGAGATAAATACGAAAGGGAAACAGCTCTAACATCTGGTTTACTTTTATTTATTGGTGAACTAATTTTATGAATAAACAAATAATTTTTAATAAATATTATACATTTAAATTGATTTAATTTTAGTAAATAAATTGTTTTAAATAATTTAATGAATATTTTTTATTTTTATTATTATTATTATTAAATTTAAAAAAAAATATTTAATTTTCTTTTTGTAATGTAAAAGAAATTTATAAATATATTTTTTGTTTGCAATAATAAAAAACATAACTAATAATGTTAATTGATAATGTAAATTTAAAAAAAATATTTATCGAAAATAATAAATAAACATAAAACACAAACCAACAAAAGTTTAGCAGAATTTGTCTTAAAGAAATTCGTAAAGAATATATTGAAACTTCAATATTTTGATTTTAATGTTGACTGTTGAAAAATAGTAATAAAAAAAAAAAAGTAATTTCTTTGTTAAAAGTAGAATCTAAAATTTTTAACACACATCATTGAGGCATAAAATTGTGTATATAGCACTTATATTTAAAAATTAACACTTCGCGAAAATTACCTTACATAAGTAAACAATGTCACGTTACTCACGTGAAAATTAAACTTACATCACCCTAAACAGTTATTTCACTGCAGGTGAATCAAATGTAAATACACTTTCCTTTTATATACATATAATTAATTAATAATTAATAATTAATTAATAATTAATAATTAATTAATAATTAATTAATTAAATAAATAATTAATTAAATTAATGTATATTAAATAAACAATTATATGTCAACAAAATTTTATCGATTGCTCTATAAATATATACAATTTTCTATTTTTTTTTTTTTGCTAACCGGCGAAATTGATATGGAAAAAGAATTTTTTTGAAATTTTTTGATTATTTATTATAAACATTCGCATACTCCTTCATGTACGATCGAATAGAATGGAGTGCGAGTAAGTTGTTCTCGATTATTTGGGAAAACACTTTTTAAAAATCCCCCCCCTCTTTTCTTTTTTCGCCGGGTTTATATATATATTTATATATATTTATGAGAGGTGAGGAGAGGATGACTTTTTTTCTCGTCCTCGCAAAGCCGCGGTAAACCGGACACTCCTGGAAGTGGGGACCTGCTCTCACTCGCGAAGCCGTGGAGTCAAATCCCCCTTTGCCTCCCTCCCCCCCTTGTCTTATGCTCGCGATGCCCTCCATCGTTTTCTTCTAGCGACATTATTTCCTTGCATCCAACCCCCCTTTTCACCCCTTTCAATCCTTTTTTTATTCTTGTATTTTTCTTTTATTTTTTATTTATATTTTTATATTATTTTTTTTCATATTTATTATTTTATTTTTATTTTCATTTTTTCTTTAGTTAATTTTTTTTATTTTAATTAATATTTATTAATTAATTAATTAAATATAATTAATTAAATAAATAATTTATTTTATTATTTATTTTTTTTTTACTTTCTTTATATTTTATTTTCTTAAAAAGAAACTAAACGAATTTTTCATTTTCTACCAAACTAAATAAATATTAGTTTATTTTTGTATAATAATTAATATGTAATAAATGAAAAAAAAAGATGCGGTAAACAGCAAGTTTAAAAAACAGGAAAAACGCTATTTATGTAACTTGGAGATTATAACAACAAAATTGTCGATTAGGGATTGAAAAAAAATTTCTTTGATTTAAATAATCGATTACTTGGTGACTATTATCAAATAAAAATTTATTTGTATCAAATTATTTTTATTTGAATCTAATACCTATTTTATTATATTATTTCATTTCTTATAATTTTTTATTTGTTAAATTAATTTAATTATTATTATTCTTATTTTATTATTATTATTATTATTATTATTATTATTATTATTATTATTATTAGAAATTCGTACTATTATTATTATTATTACTATTATTATTATTATTATTATTATTATTATTATTATTACAAGTTAATTTAAATTAAATAAATTATTAATAAAAATATTAAAATATTTATTTTTTACCTATAGTCAATTAAACGATTATTTGAATCAAATAATTTTTTTTTAATAAATAAATAATTAAATAATTAATTAAATTATCCGCGTAAAATTGTATATAGATTTCAAAGAAAATTTCCGCAATTATTTTAAAATTGATAGAAATTTATTTATAATTTACATTTTTGTTTTTTCACCAATAAATAAATTATATATTGGCGCATGTACGCGTTACACTTATATATATATATGATAAAATATATATTTTTATATAATATGTGTGTGATGCACAATCGCACTTTGATTCATTAATAATTACAGCGCGGGAATAATTATAAATTTTTCTACATTGAAAAAAAGTAGAGCGTGTATTTGAGATTTGAAAAAAAAAAATTAATAAAATCGAAAGAAACGGATATTTATTGTATATAAAAATAATTTTTAGAAAATGCAATAGTTTTGCGTACATATAATATATGTATACATTCTCCGTCTTTTGTCTCATGGGATCAATACTGCACCAGATTCAGTTTTTTGGAATTTAAAATGATAACTCTTTTTTGAGAACAAAGAATATAAAAAAAAATTGCATACTTTCTTTCTTATTTTTTTTTTTTTTTTTGTAAAAAAATTAATTTTCATTTTTTGTACTTACAAAAAAAGAAATTTTAATATTAGTTTTTTTGTAAAAAAATTAATTTGAATTTTTTTTTTAAATTAATTCAATAATTAATAAAAAAAAAAATTTCAGTAGATTATTTATAATGAAGGTTGTTGTACGGTGAAAGGTATAAAAAATATGCGAAACACAATACGTTCAACCGTAATGTGAGATAAAAGTCAATTTAAAGTAACAAAAAAAAACACTTTAACTTTTAATGCATGACATCTGCATAACGGATACGTGATTTTCTTTCTTTTTTATTATCCTTTTTTTTTTCATTCCCGTAACATTTCTCCTGTCAGTGAGACAAAGACCTTGAAATTCACTCACAATATTCTCTTTTTATCTCGAAAAGTTTATCAAAATATATTTATATATATAACACATTTTATGTAACAAAATGTGAAATATATTATTAAAATAAAGATTTATTTGTATCATTTATTAAAATAAATTAATTAAAAAAAATTTCAATTTTTTTCCAAAATAATACTTTTTTTAAAATTAATTTTCATTTTGTTGTTTTTTTTTGTTAATAAAAATAAATCTGCACGCAGTGTGTAATAAAAAATTATTATCTAATTTTTTTTTTTGTATAATATTGTTTACCAAATAATTATGCGTATCGAAATATGGATATTAGATATAATGCAGTGGGTATTTTTTTTTTTTTATTATTATTTCTGCAAGGAAAATATAATTGAAGAAAAACTATTAACGCGATTTCCTTTCGACAAAGTATGAAGGACGAATAAATGATTCACGTTTTATTTCTTTATCGACCGTGACTTTCGAGAGATTGAATTATAAAATAGGAAAAATAATATTGCATTCAGATAATTACGTCACACAAAGGACCGATTCCTTTTTTTATGATATTTCAAAAAAAAAAAATTCACGAGAAAATTAAAAAAAAAAAAAAACGAAAAATATTGCATTTTTAATTTCGGATTTTATGGAGGCCTAATGAAAATTTTAATAAACGAAAAAAGAAATTATTTTGAAAATAAATTAATTTTAATAGAAATTATTTTGAAAATTATTTTTTTTTTTGAAAACAAATATATATTTTTCAAAAATAATTTTTATAAAATTAATCAGAATTTTGATTACAATAAATTGGACTAATATATAAATATATTTCAAGGTCCTAGAAAGAATTTATTTGCTGATTTGTATACTACTTTGGATACAAAAAAAAATATATATATATATAATCGTAGAGAGAATAAAATGATGTAAGATTTTATATGGTAACATCCTGGTTATATATGATGAACAAAAAAATGGACCGAGACTATTATTATGTTTTTATTTTCTTTTCTCTATATTATATATTGTAAGAGATGAAAAATAGGCATTATAAAAGAAGAGTGAATATGATTTATAATAGACGATTATATACTCGAGTTAATTAACTTAACTCCACGTAATGGTTCATTGCGCTTTTCCAGAAGATATTTTTATATATATATATATATAAAAGCAAATCACATGCAAAAAGCAAGAGAATTAATTAATTAAAGTTGTTTATTGATAAGTGAATAAAAAATGAACAATCATAATATATTATGAGGGGGTGAAAATATTTTCAAAAAAAAAAGAATGAAATAAGTACTTACTCAACGATTGAAGGCCCATCATTAAAATAAATCCTACAACGATAGAAGCAAATTGCCTCAGTCCAGAACGATTTTCTTGTAAAACTTCAAAGAAAACCACGTACAGCAAAGTTCCCGATGCAATTCCCTGGAAAAATATTTTTAAAAATTTCATTTATCCTAATAATGAAATAAAATAATTAATAATTATTAAAATAAAAAAAATTTAATAAATAAAAAAACGCAGCGACAAAATAATAAAATAAATAAATTTAATAAATTAAAAAACGCAGCAGCGACTAAATAATAAAATATAATAATTAATAATTAATAAAATAAATAAATTTAAATAAATTTAAATAAATTAGAAAAAAAATAATTTAATATGCATTTGATTTCTTTGAATATAATTTTTTCCAGTGGGCATAATTCAAAAAGAGTTTTTTTTTTTTTTTTTTTTTTTTTTTTTGTAAAATTGGAGCAAAAGAAAGTTTGAAAAAAATAATGAAATAAGTTGTCTAAATGTATAATCTATGCCACCTGAATAATATGTTTTTACATATATAATAATGCACGTGATGGGAGAAAGCTGTGTTCGACCCAAATAATCTATTTATCAGTTCCGATATTAATTATAAATTATTAATATAATTATATTGTGAATACGATATTTAAAAAAAAAATTTTTTTTTAATATAAATTTTTGATCAATAATTTACTTGATTTAAGAAAAAAAAAATATTAAAATTATTGAAGGACTCGGCAAATAAATATAAAAATAATAAATAAAATATAAAAAAAATAAATATAAAATAAATAAATAATAATAATTCGATTAATAATAAATAATTTTAAATATAAAAAAAAATAAAATAAAAATAAAATTTTAATAAAATTACATACCTGCAAAAATACAGGTAGGAGACCATTTGCTGCAGCACTTTCACCCCCGATTAATGCCATTCCAATCCCGATTCCAAGGGGAGAAACAACGGCAAACATGCATATGTAAACAATTGACAAATGTGTCTTTGTCTTAGCTGCAATTAATTGCACACCAATGCAAAAAGCAATGACAAATTTGTGTGCAGACACTGCAGCAAACATATACCTGCAAAATATACAATTAAAAAAATTAATTAATTAGTTCAAAAAAATATTATCGAAATTATTTTTTAATAACTAAATTTTTACATTTTTTATTCTGTAATAATAATAGTTATTATTAAATTACTTAATTATAATTAATTAAATAAGTAATTGCCGTTAAAATTTACATTTTAAAAAAATTACAAAGTAATTATCTGGATGCATATATATTTAAAAATTTTATATAATAAATAAATTAATCGCAATATTATTTGAAAGGATGTATTTAAAAAAAATTTTTTTTTGTTTTATTTAATTAATATATTTTAAATGGTAAAATTTAAATATATATATATATATATATATAATTTTACGAACCAAACATCGGGGGCAGAACTTTCAAGGCCAATAGCAAGTCCCTCAAATAATTCATGCACTGAAAGTCCCAATACTATTAAAAGTCCTCGAAGAGAACTGATCTCAAAGCTCTCGCCATCATCTGTAATTGGTAGATGACTGTGACCGGTACAGCTATAAAAAAAAAATGTCAATTTTTTCACAAACCTCATTAGAAAATAAAAAGCAATTATTAAACTATGATACCTGTAAATAAAATTATATTTTTATATTAAAAAAAAAAATTTAATATAAAAAATTATATTTTTGTATATATACAAAATTTTTACCATTAAAAAAAAATAATAATATTTTAATATATAAAAAAGTAAAATAATATTTTTATTTAAAAACATTTTATATAAAAAATATAATATATTTTTATATTAAACATTTTTAAACAAAA